GGCCCCCCCCCCGCCCCCCCCCCCCCCCCCCCCCCGCCCCGGGCTCCCCACTCACCCGAGCAAAAAGCAGCGTCTTCCCCGCGTCGCAGAGGCCCAGCAGCAGCACCGCCTTCCGGCTGCTCCTCCTGCCCTGCACGAACCTCCAGATCACTACGAGAGAGAGGAGGGGGCACCTAAGCCCGCCGTTGGCGGCACCCGCCCCCCCTCAGCGAGCGCGGCCCGGGGGCCGCTGCTCCCCAGCAGACCCCCAGGGCGCGACTGGAGGGCGGGTGTCCCCCGCGGGCCAGAACTCACGCAGCGTGATGGCGACGGCGAGCAGTGCCAGGAGGACGGAGAGCACGGCGGGGTCGGACGGCCGCAGCTCCCGCCCCAGCGCCTCCAGGTGCGGCTCCAGCCTCCCCGCCATGGCCAGCCGACCGCACACGTCGCCGTACCGCTTCCGCTTCCGGCCCCGCGGCCTGCCGGGAAGGGCCGTCGGGAGGTCCGGGGCGCGGGGGCTCACGGGAGTTGTAGTTCCTGGGGGGTCCCGGCTGAGGAGGAGGAGGGAAGGGGGAGGCGGGCTGGGGCCGGGCCCGGGTGCAGGCCCAGGGCTCTGCGGCTCGGACTGGCCCTCGAAGTGAGGGAGCACGTTGCCTTTACCGCATGAGGCGAGGGGCGTTAATGCACAGCGGGGCGCCGGGGGTAGTGGGCGGCTGCAGTGGCCTGAGATCCGTGGAGGTCTAGGAGGTGATCATGCCCCCTTGGCTCAGCACCAGGTCCTTGATCTGAGACTCAAACATCATGAGATGTTTGGCCACACCTAGGTAGTGCGTCTGGTTTTGCCCCCCTCCCCAGTTCAAGCAAGACATCCATGAAGGACAGCAAGCTCAGAAGAGAGCCACCAAGATGGTCAGGGGGCTGGAGGCTCGACCTGTGGGGTGAGGCTCAGGGACCAGGACTTGTTGAGCCTGGAGAAGAGATGGTCACATTTGTATCAGGCACCAGGAAGATGGTGCCAGGCTTTTCACAGTGGTGCAGGATGAGGAGCAATGGGAATACATTAAAATGAGAGAAGTTCAGAGTGGGTATGAAAGAAACTTCTTCCTCTTGTCAACCAGTGGGGCAGGTTGCCCAGGGAGGTCATGGAGTCGCCATCCTTGCAGGTTCTCAGTGCCTGACTGGGTCAAGACCCGACCAACCTGGTTGGCCCCTTTCTTTGAGCAGGAGGTTGGACTGGAGACCCCAGAGATCCCTTCCCACTTGAGTGACTCTGTGATCCTCTAGTAAGGTTCCTTTTTGCCATGCCTTCTACTTATGGGACAAGGGTTACAACTGATTCGGAGTACAGATGATGCAGCTTTTCTTGGGAAAGTTTTCTAACTGTAGCCATAATTAGTTGTGGAAGCACACTCTTACAGGCACCGTATCTCTTTCTTTGCTAGTTCTTAAGAACAGGTTAAAAAAGCCATCTGTCCAGTATACTTCATCCTACATAAATGTGTGGAACTAAATTTCATTGCTTCCCGTCACAGTCTACATTTCTGTCTTTGTCGTGGTTTAAACCCAGCCAGCAGCTAAGCATCACACACCGCTCACTCACTCCCCCCCCCACCCAGTGGGATGGGGGAGAAAATCGGGAAAAGAAGTAAAACTTGTGGGTTGAGATAAGAACAGTTTAATAGAACAGAAAAGAAGAAACTAATAATGATAATGATAACACTAATAAAATGACAGCAGTAATAATAAAAGGATTGGAATATACAAATGATGCACAGTGTGATTGCTCACCACCCGCCAATTGATGCCCAGTTAATCCCCGAGCGGCGATCCCCCGTCCCCACAGTTTCTATACTAGATGTGACGTCCCATGGTATGGAGTACCCCGTTGGCCAGTTTGGGTCAGATGCCCTGGCTGTGTCCTGTGCCAACTTCTTGTGCCCCTCCAGCCTTCTCGCTGGCTGGGCATGAGAAGCTGAAAAATCCTTGACTTTAGACTAAACATTACTTAGTGACAACTGAAAACTTCAATGTGTTATCAACATTCTTCTCATACTGAACTCAAAACATAGCACTGCACCAGCTACTAGGAAGACAATCAACTCTATCCCAGCCAAAACCAGGACAGTCTTCTAAGGTGATCTTCGGTCAGGCTAGCAGACTTCTTACAACACATGCCATATGCATCCAAAAATCATCACTGTGAGCCCATCAAAATATTCATTCCCTCAAAGCCAGAAGCATCTTTCTGCTCTCAGCAGCTCTTCCATGCTTGCCTTGACAACAGGGTTGGGACCCACTGGATTACCCCAGACTCTGTTCCTCTGAAGCAGAGAGCCCCAGCAGACCTTTTTGTCTTGCCTTTTTATTTTCACTGTGGATCAGAGTCAGGCTGCCCACCTACATGTTTGTTTTCAGGTCAGCAGCACATTGGACAGACTACCAAAACACAAATGTTTCTGAGTAAGTCCTAGATTTTTTTCAGAAAGGAAGTCTAAGCCTGGACTCTCCCCATCAATATACTTATGTGTTTTAAGAGTACTGCCTGGTGGAAATTACTTGGATCCAGCCACCTCAGATATGAGATGGAGTGGTTTCTATTCATACCTTCCATCTTACAACCACTGTATGTTTTCAGTTTAGTTTGGTTTTTTTCCTTCTCTACCATTCAGCTTCCCTGACTTAAACACTCTCCCTCTTCCTGTGTCCCAACCACACTGGACAACTGTCATCTGCTGGGGAGATAATGAGATAACCTGGGTGAAGCAGAAGCACAGAGAGTACAAAACATCTGTTAATTACGCTCTAGGGCATGTTTAATCCATTTTGCTTTGGCAAATGTTGAAAGAAATTCCTCTAACCAGCAACAACAGCCTTAAGTGGCAATAGCCACATTGGTATCTGGCACTGTCCTACCGTGAGAGGTACTGAGGAAGGAATGGGCTTAAGGAAAAAAGATTTTGAAAAATCTCAGGACACCTGTTTAGATTTGAGATTTTATTTCTTGCTGTGATGGCAGCAGAGAATGGTAAAGTCTCAAACAGCCACTTTCAGAGTGATGAGGAAGGGGAGAGAAAGCAGCAAAGGCAGAGGGCCCTCTGCGGGTCAGTGTTCAGTGCTGAGGGCACGAGAGGAGTCATGGCTTGAAGTTTCCTCCCCCTCCAGCAAGGGTCCTTCCACTCTCGCTACTTGTCCTCAAGGAAGGTGCACACCTGGAGGAGATCTGAAAACGGAAAGGACAGCGAGTTCAGATCCTGCCTTTAAACACTCCCGTCCCACCAGCACACACCCAGCCACGCCAACAACGTCATCGTGTGGAAAATACATTGTGTGCCACAAAAAAAAGCGTATCCTCATTTTGCTTTAAAAAATTAAATGGACAGCTACAGAAGAAACTGTCTGCGCCTGCAAGGCTAAGAACTGCAATTCACAGACTTCTTCCTGGGGCTGTTACAGTTACCTGATGGATTGCAGGTATTGAGGCTAGCAACTGAAGCATAGTATTGATCTCCGAGGAATTCCTTGTACGTTATTCCATCGCGGAGTTTGACCAGACACTTGGTCAAGTCTTTAAACAGAAGGTCTTTGGTTTGAGACTCAAACATCTTGAACCTGTCTTTCTCGATTCCTTTTGTTCCAAATAGTTTCTGAAATAAAGGCACGAAGAGGTAAGCGTTTGTAAAAAGTAGAAAGCTGGCAAGATTCAGCTTGTACAAGCCTAGCTCTTAGTCCTAGTTCTTCACCATCACCCTGGGGAGCCCCCAGCTAAGCTCCAGAAATTTAGGATTGAATCTTCTGTTCATGTGGTTAGATGAGGGATCTCTCAGTGGTAGGCACAGTCGTGGCATAACTGTCAAAACAATTTTTTTCATTTTAACCTGTCACTACATGCAGAGCCCATCGGCAGATGCTGCCAGCAGGTCCTATGCCTTAGCCATGAGTTGAAAGCAAAAGGAGCTGACTTCCCAAGTGTCAGCAGACCCTGACGGGGAAGTAACTATTAATGTTTTCAGTGTAAAATCAAACAGAGCTTGTTTAACCTGGTTACATTGACACCAGTAGCTGTAAGACCCTGTGTGTGCAGGGAGGCTGCTGTCTTCTCTGGGCTGTGCCTGACCCAGCTGGGTGAGAGACCAGGCACCCCAGAGGAGTTTCTGAAACACACCTGCAAGAGCATAGCCCAAGAAGGTGGTGATAGTCTCGCCTCACACAAGTATAGCGTGACAATAGCAACCACTACGATCCAGCTGGTACCTAAAGGTGTATTTGCTAAGGTGGCAGAGGAGAAAGAGCAGTTCGGAAGGGATGGAGGAAGGGGGAGGCTAAGGGACAAGGCTGTCACCCCATATCGGTAAATGAAAATCTTCCACGTTGTGCTGACTTGGTAAACTCAGAGCATCCTTGCTCTAAAAATGCAAACATGCGGCATAAAAACAACCCCAGAACTTTTCTTCCACTGTCAGTACTACTAACCTCTTGTCTCTCCAGCAGCTCACGGACTTTTTTTGCTTTCTCAGGACGTGTGATCACAGCATGGGTAGGAACTTTGGCCAGGTGGCAGTCCCTGTAAGCCATGACATTTGCCCGTTGCCCATCAGTGCACAGCAACTCAAATTCGTCCATTTTCAGACTTTTGGCCCAGTCTTCTTTATTTTTGCCTTTAAAGAAAGTAGGTTTGGAGATTCAGAGATCTTGTGTAGCAGAAGAACATCAGCCTCACGACACCTAAGCAAGGCATTTGTCCCTGCCTGCATGTGCACTTGGAGACCTGGCATGTACAAAGGAGGCTGTAAGTAAAACTCAGGAAAAGTCAATGGGATGAGTCAGACTCTCAGAGCAAGCTGGGAGATTTAGTTACATCCCCTTCCTTGCATTTTTTCCCAAATGCTTGGACAACTTCAGTCACTGCTTTCAGAAATGTGAACTGAACTTTTAATTTTCAGGCAAGCGGGGAGCTAGAGTGCTGCGCAAAGGTGTCGAGGCAAGAGTCTGTGGTTAAGGGACTGCCTGAATAATTGTGCAGCTGAAATTAAAGGATAGTTAGCAGGGAAGTGTCTCTGCAGAAATGCCTGGGAAGAGCCACCGTGGACAGACGGCACATGCTGACGCTTGAATTCTGCTCCTCCTGCAGGAGGGGTGAGACTGACAGGACAAGCAGGTAAAGCTTGCTATTACCCTCTGCTCTGGGAACAAAAATAATGCAGATAGGCGAAGGCAGCCCTGCAGACACCCGTGCAACAGAAAAACCACATACCCTCAGTGTTTTCCTCAACAATGGAATGCTTAATAAAGGCCACATCCCCCCGCTCGACCAGACACCTGGGAAGTACAAAGAAAGGCAAGTGACGTGGGTGCTGGAATCCCGGCCCTTTCCCACAGATTTGATTCTGGCCTATGTCTTATTTTGTAAAATTAATCTCTGAGGACAGTCAGGTCTAGGAGTCCTACCATTAATATTTTAAAGATATCTGAAACACAGTCTTCTAACACATTCTGGAAAAAAACCATGCATCCTTCTCACATGATAAGTAGCCAATTTATTTTATTGTCAGAAGGAAGCAGTTTGGCCAGGTTCAGAATTTGCTTTGCTTTCTGTAATGCCTGCCTGCACATGTTAATAGCTTTGTAAAAACACTAACTGGCACTGAAAGGACTGCAAACCCTGAAGCAGGGTCTCTTTTCTATTACATGTAAATAAAACAAGATTCATTCTCTTTTTAAATTCATGCCCAAAATGAATTACTCAGACTTGAGCTGATACTGAGCAGGTATGGAGGAGATGGCAATGAGGCTGACCTTTGGTCTCTGCACTTTTTAGAGGATGGCTCATTTTAACTAAAGCAAGCAGCATTTTTAACAGGGGTGTATCAAGTGGCAGCATTGTTTTCAGGTCCCCATCTTTTAATGCTCCTTATTTGTGGTAAAAGTATAGCACTGCTGCCATTGTAGGAGGTCTGACCAAAACACTTGTGTCTCTCCAGGTTTGCCTGGAGGCACCAGGACATTAGTTTTACAGAACAGGAACATTTTGCATCATTTTGCAGAAAGCTGCATAAAGAAAAAACATATAGCATATGTATAACATTACAGACATATATACTTTCAGCAGCGTAATGGAGAAAAAGAGAAGGTCATCAAATTAGCATCAACATGAGGCTGTACTCCATATGTGATCTACCCATAACCTCTGTGATTAGCCCAAGCGTTTCCACCACTTACCGGAAAGCTCCAGTATATCCATAGTATTTCTCATGGCTGCTGGCGACGCACTTCTCTGGCGGGACCCCTCCTGAGCCCTTGCAGAGTCGACAGAGGCGGGAGTTAGGAGGAGACCCGGGAGCACAGCCCTCGCTGAAGTATTCATCTGAAGGCAGGAAGAGGAAAAATTCACTTTTCCTGCACTGAAAAGTTAGGTTTTCTTTTAATAATATGTTCTCACGCTGAATTTGTATTAGCGGTCACTGGGAGCTGGAAACAGGCTGTGAGAAGGAGCACGATTCAGTGGACAGCAAATCGCACGCATCCAGTTTTCACTATGAAACTTGTGTCTTGTTATTATTGATAATGAAGTGGGGCCTAAGGCTCAATTGCAATAGGCAACTGCTGCAAACCATTCCCAGTTCACACAGAGCCAGCCTAAGTCTCCACAGCCTTTATGGGTTGGCAGAGTTGCATTTGGCGGCAATGGCAGAGCTCTGGGGGAAGAAGGGACAGTGGGAAAGGCAGGCAGGAGGATGGAGAGGCTGACTAAAATTTACTAACAGTAGTATCTTCTTGCAGTTAGAGATTTCCTTTTAATAATTATATGCTTAATTTGCCTTGGTCAATAATATTTCCAAATTATTTTTGTTGGACCGTAATTCTCACCAATTGAAAGTTGGATGTAGAAGTTGATCTTCTGAACAATCTCTAAAGTCCCAGAGCCAATGAAGACTTTTACCCTCTTATTCTCAGGCAGTCAGATCAGTCCCTTTGAGTTTCTTGAACAAAGATCAGTCTCTGTCCCCTGTTCTCAGCCCTTTGCCTCCCTTCTGAGATTCATAAACCCATCCTTTACCCCCACTTCACACCCTGCACAAGCACCAGGCCCCCTATTCCTGGGGCAGCCTGTATTCCCTTTTTGGGAATACCTTTTGGGCTATTGCTAAGGGAAAGGAAGAGATGTGAAAAGAAAGAAAAGCCCTCCAAAGCAGCTGACATGCCGTATCTTACTCTGAAGCGGTCACCAACAGCCTACAACTTTGCTCAGTGAAACCTTAAATAACAGAGTCTTCTCCATTTCCCACCTTCAGGTGGGAATCTTTGAGGCACAAGAAACTTTGAAGATCACGTGAAGGATGGGAAAACAATTTTGCAAGCAGATTCCCAGCTCGAAAAAATGGATGCAAAACTCAACTCACCGAAATTGCAGTTCCCTGTCCTGTTGTGAATCAAGCCCATGGGGATGTTCCAGCCAGCAGTTCTCCCGACAGCAGTGTGGCACGACTTCTTGCCCTGCAGATTGTTCCATGTGATATCTCTGTTAGATTTCTTCACAACAGCCACAGCAAAGTAGGATGCTTTCAGAAGATAAAACAGAGATGAATTAAGGACTGACCCGAGGATCTCACCATGCTTTCTTAGGAGAGCATTGGTTCCACTTGGGAGAGGACACCTATGAACAGCGTAGCAGAAATACTTTGCACTTCTTATAAATTATTTGCCAGGCAGCAACAATGGAAGAGTTTGCAGATGTGATGCATCTACTCCCACCATGCCCCTGGGAAATTGTTATCCTTGACATTTCCCTGCCCCCCAAAACTCTGACACTTGGGTATGCGAGAAGGCTGTAGCAAGACATACATGATGATTTTTTTATCCCCTCCTTAGCAAAGGACAAAAACCTTCCCTCCCCTCCCTCTTCCCACTTCTATAAAGAACAATTTCCTAATGCTACAACCCAGACCCTCCTTTCTCTGTTTGCAGCCCTGGCACTGTTATGGTGTGACTGCACTCCAGACAGCAGCAATTAAGCAATTAAGCACAAATCTCTGCTGCTACCATATGCTTTGCCTTGCTATCTGTTTGCAGACCCTGGCTTTCCATCTGACTACTACATTTGTCTCCCAAATTTTTAATATCTGCATTGGACACAGTGGCTCTTTGTGTGGAGACTGGCCATTTGTTCTCCACTCATGACTGCACATATATATTTTTCTACTTGTATCCATCAGGACTGTTTTCTGTCCCTCTGTTGGCAGTAATTACCTGGTTCTCCTTCTGCTTTGCTGCATTGACTGTCATCTGAGGGGTGGGAAAAAGAAGAAGATATTAGATAAAAGATATGGCAAATCCAAAAAAGGATCGAGCTCACTAATTTCTGGAGAGACTGAAATAGAAGTGACTATTTCAGGTACACTTTGAGCATCAGCAGAACAAAGCACAACCTCCATCTGATCCTCTGAGCTAAAACAACTAGTTTTACTGGGGCCGGTGCTAGAGGACGGGGACATCATGATTAAAACGAAGAAGAGAGGAGCTGGAGGGCGTTGTGTTCCTGACTGTCAATGCCCGCTTTCCCAGGGCTGTTCCACCTTCGTGGAAAGACAAGGCATGCAGCGGTAAGCAGAGTTGCCTCAGAGCAACCATGTGTTTTCTGCAGGATGCAGCGCTGAGGCTGCTTTCTCGATTTCAGAATAAAACCAGTGCTTTTGCACTAGCCCCTTCCCCACCACCTGAACCCAGAAGGGCAGCCTGGGCTGTGCTTACCCTCATAGCTTTCTCCCATCACTGGCACCAAGCCACACACACCAGCAGTGTAGACAAAACCTCCGTCTAAGCTGATAGCATCTGCTTCACCTTTCTGCAATAAAAAGGCACAGTGATGAAACAACGCTGTATGTCCCCAGACCAGTGCTTTTCAGAAATAGGGTTGTAAAAGAAGCACTCGATGTAAAGGAGAAGGATGTGGGGACGTGAGAGCCCATCCCTTAGCATATAGACAGACGAAGTCTCACTGATGCAAACAGAGGCAGTTTTGAAATTATCTCTCCTGTGCACTTGTAAACCATCTCCAGCAGCAGCTCTTGTCCCTAGGCACTCGCAGGCTCAGGCGTGGGTCTGTCCTAGCCTGCTTCCCTGCCACACAGATTTCCTTATCTATCTCCCCCGTCCTTTCAAGTTTCCATTTTGTGCTGTCTTCACGGTACTGACACAACCCTCTGAGCTGCCACCAGCATCCTTGTCTGTGCTATGGAATCACTCCTCTTCTAAGCAGGCAACTGTTTTTCTTTGCATTTTACAAAATCTGTATTTTGCCTTCCTTTTCCAAATAAAAAGTTATGTTGCACCAGAAAATTGCTTTTTATTTAGGAAACCTCAAAAAAGAACACTGACCAAAAATTTTTTCTGAAAAATGTTAATCTGTGAAAAACTAGTCTTCTCTCTGTGATGAGGTTGGTTTCTGCCCACTGGTATTTCTCACAAAGCTCCCAGTATTTTATTTTAAAATCTACCCCACCTCTGCCCCATCTATTCCCAGGCTGAAAGAAGCAATGCTGCTCTCCACCTGAAAGGTTCACAGGGAGAAGAAAAGGAAAAAAAGCCATACCATGATCTTAATAATGCAGTCGTTGGTGTTGTCTGCCACAGTGCACTCCACCTCCCCGTTGCTCACCACACTCCAGAGGTCACACTTGCTCTTCTCATTCTTGCCTACTGCACACCACCGCGTCTTGTTTTCTCTGCGGTTGGGGTTCAACTGATCTGTAAAAGCAGCAGAGGAAAAACAAGGATAAGCCTACAGCCCTACTGAACGATAAGGCTATGAACAGGCTACTTTCTGAGTGCATGGGACTCAGCCATGAAACCATCTGTACATACCAAGCTGCTGCTGCCCAGTGCAAGACATTTAATAAGCCCTGGGCCAGCATGAATAGAAGGGGTGATTCTTAAGCTGAAGGATGCTCAAAAATCAACTTACAGGTCAGAAAGGAGAATTTCTGCATAACACAAGCCGCTCATGCAGATTCGTGTTAGCTAAAACACCGCAACCACTAAACCACCACGCGTTAATAGTACATAGTGTGGCTGCCTATAATATATTCTGCATTTCTCCAGGCCTCATAGCCCAGACAACCATGAGACTAAGACCAGACTGAGCTGGAAAAATGCAGCCTAGTTATGTTTCTGTGAAGTAGCATTTGAATAATCTGTTTTGATGCTACATGAAGTCCACGCACAGCCTTCCATAAATGCCATAGCAGCTGAGCCTACCACAGAGATCTCTGAGCAACTGTACATTTTAAGTGGGTTTTGGAGGTCATTTGTGGGATGTTTGACTCTCAGAAAGCCAGCTAGGACATCAGTAAATGCTCAGTGAGTCTAGATGGAAATAAGGGACACTTTTTCCTTCAAGTGGCCAAGACTGGACCTGGTGTCCCAGGATGTTCCTTCCTCTTAAGTCCCAGAAATGGCTTTTCTAAGCAGCAGTTTTGACCATGCCCAATCTCTACCACAAGCTGAATAACCGTGAGCAGTTTTTGCTGTTGTAATTGTGGTGAAGGGACGAGGGGTGGAGTATGTGTAAATTTTCCACCTTTGTCAGTGTGGTGATGATGTTATTTTGACTTTGGAATCAACAAATTCCTTTTGTTGATGTAAGTGAAGTTTGTGAAGATTGGGTGACTTTAATGATAATACCTTTCACAGGAAATATTTTGCAGAGAATACTGTCTGTGTTTGAAAGAATCGTGTTCCTTTTGCCTAGACATTTGTTGATCCCATCTCTTCAACACAGCTCACACTGACACAACATTAGTGTTTCATGTCCTGCCTACCTTTCTGAAGGCTCTGGATAGCACTGTAATACTCAAAGCCCAGGTAGAGCTGGGAGTCCATCAGTGGTGGGATACGCTTCAGCTGTACAGCAGAATCTTTGAAAAGCAAGTCTTTGAGGCCTGGGTCCTTCTTGCCAGGTGGCCCAAAGAGCTGGAAGGTGCTGGTTGTGCCCACACCATATTTCTCCTGCCGCAAGGGAAAAATAATCAGCAAATAACTGTACCAAAGCTCTTGGAAAGCTGTGGCGAGCAAGCAAGAGCCAGAGGACAGAAGAGGGGATGCTAAGGGAAGGAAAGGAGAGCTTGATGATACCTGTGCTTTTGAGAGAAAGTTCCAGATGTCATCAACCTTGCTATCATCTCGAGCCACAACAGCGTGAGCAGGCACCCTGGCCCAGTGACAGGCTTTATAGTTGTCCACAGGCTGACGGCTGCCATCCAGACACAGAAGCTCGTACTGATCCTTCTCCTCTGGGGCATTTTCTGGAGGAAGGGAGGAACCATCAGTTGCACCACCACAAAAATAAGACCAAAAAGCCAGTCTGGGGCAGCTTTGTAGTGAATTTATGTCTGCTGAAGCTTGGGGAAGAATTCTTTGCAGAAGAGAGGTTGCACGCACCCCCTTTGCAATGGTAATGGGGTCATCGTGGTCATACAAAGGCAATGCAGATAGAAGAATACATGTGCCTGTGCAAGAGAGATTATCTCTGCCTCTGTCATAACTAATCCAACAGTAAAAGGATTTATGTGGCAGTAGTGCCTAGACATCCAGACACTTACAAATGGCTACAAATACAAATAGATTTACAAACACCATACAAATGGATTGAACAGGTCGGGAGCTGCACGTGATCTGTGAAGGCCGTAGGTAGCCAATGCCAAGGCTGAAAACAGAGCGCAGGTCCGAGATCAGAGAGTTACAGGAGTATTCAGGTGGGAAGGGACCTCTGAAGATCTCTCATCCAAGCCCCTGCTCAAAGCAGGGGCAGACCAGGTTGCTCCAGGTAGATCTTGAAAACCTTCAAGGATGGAGAGTGCGCAGCTGTCCTGGGCAACCCATCCCACTGCTTGACTGTCCTCAAGGGGAAAAAATTTCCCCTTGTATCTGGTCCAAACCTCTCTTGTTTCAGTTTATGATTATTGTTTCTCATCTTTCCACTGTCTACTTCCGTAAAGATCTTGGCTCCACCTTCTTGCTAGCCTTCTTGTAGGTACAAGCAGGCTGCTCTGAGGTCCCCCCAAAGCCATCTCTTCCCCAGGCTAATCAAGCCCACCCCGCTGAGCATCTCCTCACAGGACAAGTGTCCCTGCCCCATGACCATCTTGGTGGCCCTCCACTGAGTTCACTGCAGGTCCTGGGTGTGCCAGGCTATCTTCTGTCTCCGAGAAGTGCAGAGTTAGTGAACTCTTGCTGTGGGCTGAATTCCCTCCAAAATCCCTCCCCGAGGGATGGGTGAGTGATTACCCACATAATTGCTCATCCTGTGTTTGCTGTGATAACATTACAGCTGGCTCTGAGATATGGCACCAGTGATAATACCACTGAACTTAAGCAGGTTTTCCTTCTTCAAAGAAGAACCTCAAAGAGGGAAAAGTGGACCCCACCATAATCATGTTTCTCGATAACAAGGATGACTCAGTCCACAGTGTGCAAAACATGTTTCTAGAGTTGAAAGGAGAAGAGGTTTAGGGCAAACCTGGAGAGGAATGAAAGCCTGCACAGTGTAGACTGGTTGTAGGATGGAGTGGCAGCAAGAGGTTGGACTAGAAAGGAGAGAAACAAGTGATCTTGCAGGCCTACCTTGAACAGTTGTGTGTTTCACAAAAGCCACATCTCCTTTTCCATCTTTCAGACAGCTGCAGGTGGGAAGAACAGAAGAGATGTTAAAAAAACAGACATTGTTGCTCCCTATCTCCTCTTCAGCAAATTACTTTGGCACAAACTGTAACCATAGAGCAGTGGTTTTCCCCCAAAAAAGCTATGCTGGCAGGGAAGAAAATGTAATGGCAGAGAAGTAATGCTCAAGAAGCCCAGTTAGACTTAGCACAATGTTAATGCTGTGTATTCTTAAGTCTGTGCAAAACCATAAAACCCAGCTGCTTCTCTCATCTCCCACTAGCTGCCTGCCTGTTATTACTAATTGGATCTTTAATTACCAGTCCTCCCAGTTGTTCTATAAATTCAGTCTCCTCAGGACCCCTGATTACAACACGGCCCTCCCTGGTATAACAAAAACTTGCATGTGTCAGGGCTAGAATATTTCCCCAAAGGAAAAATAACTTTCACTCACTGAAAAGCTCCAGAATAGCCAGAATAAGGTGCTGTGCGGGAGCATTTGGTTTTGGAGTCCCCCTTGCACTGACGGCACAGTTTTTGTTCAGTGGTAGCACCAGGCACGCAGCTGGCAGAGAAAAAATTGGCCACCGCTATGGATGAGAAGGATGCAATAGTTAGTCTAACATTCACTTTTACAAGGACCTGGAAGGGAGGGGATGCACAAAGAATGTCAATGACTTGACTGCTCTGCGAGCCACCTCTGCACCTCCACAGAAGATCAGGCAACATCACTTTCACTGTACCACCACCCCTGGCTTAACGTCAACCCATTTATCTCGCTGTTTCCCACTTCACCTTGCTCGATGGAGGCCGAGTCTTTGCCATCCCACTTGATGTCTCCCCGGTTGAGGAGTGTCCCAACTGGGATATTCCAGCCAGCGGATCTACCCAGGCCCGTGTGGCAGGAGGTCTTGCCCTGCAAGTTATTTATTGTGAAGCCTGTTCCTTTCTTCACGACGGCCACAGCATAGTATCTGGTTGTGGAGACTGCAGTGCAGGAAAAAGCAGGAAAGCAATAAAAAAGCAGGACTTAGGAACATTTCAAATCCTGCCAAACTGCTGATTTCAGAGAATAAAGTGCTGCACTTCCAAATAATTATCACTCATGGTCTTCCCACTTTCAATGGGTGAGTTACACTGCCAATATTGAACCAATGCTGTGCATTACAACTTGTAATGGTAAGTGACCTGAAAATACTATCACATGCAAAATGCTTTGCCACTGAACAGACGTTAGACCTGCCCGTAGTTTTGTAAGGACACTTCAACAAGTCTTTTTGGCAAGTCTTCTTTGGCAAGTCTTTTCTCAAATGCCATTGCCCACTGAAGCATACATGTAAGCCTTGCAAGACTGAAATTTCACATTTAGTCTTTAAAATTATACCTAGTGCATCACATGCTATGTATGAATAAAATGACTGAGTTTTAGGGGCGGTAGAGACCACAGTCTTCCTTTTAATTTATGTATTTTCTTAGCTACTATGTTGAGAATGACTCTGCCATGTTGTTTTGATCCTGAATATGGTGTACGAACAGGCTGAACTCCAGGGCAGAGGTCAAAAGAGATTGGGAGCTTTCGACGTGGTGGGATTTCATGAGACAAGGCAGACAAAAATGGGGAAATACTATCTGTTTGTCTCCCAAGAGAAAGATGGAAGAGAAAAAGGATGGTACAGAGAGTGAGTAGGGATAGAGCAATGGAGCTAACTCTTATCAGAAGGGATTGCTGCAGAGCACTTTTTATGCTTCTCTTCTTTTTTGTGTGCATTGCCTGCACCTCTTGCCTCAGCCATCTCAACTGGGTGTTCCTCCACAACCACTAACGGCAATGCTCTTGCCTCTTCAATCTATTTTTTTTTTTGTCTTGATGAATGCACACGAAGACACACAGGTTATCTGGGCTGTCTATCTCAGTGTTGTACCCATGTAGTTCAAGGTCACTGAAAGCAGAAGATCTCTGGGACCAGCACAATTTTTATGCCACGTTTCAGGACGACCGTGGTGCTCATGGTGCTCTCCTTCCATGGCCACTGCTCATCACAGGATCAGTGACTTTCATCACGGCTAACATCAAATGGGACACTGGCTCTGCCCTTTTCTATTGCAGTGACTCAATGGCCATGGGTGATGATTCATATTTTTGTGTAATTACCCCCTACCCCTTCCTCTCTGGGATCTGGAAGCCAGGGGCAATATCTCGGACACCCAACAGAAATAATATGGGAGCTCTGCGTGGAAAGGATGGCCTTTGCACTACCACCTTGTTACCACCACTTGGCTTAAAAATATTGCATGAAAATATACCTCCATTTTGGTCGTGGACCTCAGCAGCAATGGGTTTCAGCTTGTAGGGGGCAAGGCCTGCCTCAAAAACTTGACCACCATCCAAGCTAATGGCATCTGCTTCATTATTCTAAACAACAAAAAGATTTTGGTCAATAAAAAAAGAGCAGCGCACATGAGGGAAAACACTTCCCCAGAGTCTCTCCTGGATCCTTGTGGGTGAGTCCTTCTCTACAGGGGGATCACAGGTAACAACCAGTGACTCAAAGGAAACCCCAACCTTCTCCAGGCTGCTGAAATATCCTCAGTGCCCAGCACATATATTTGCTGCCCACTCACCGAAATGGCTTTTATGCAGTCAAGGTATGTTGATTTCTGCAGGCAAGTCAATGCAACACCATCTTGTTGCATGAGGTCCCTTAGACTGTTGCATTTGTTCTCTTCTGCTATGGATATTGTGCACCATCTGACACTTGCCTTGGGGGGAGCAGCAAAACACAGAGCTGTAGAGAGAACCAGAAATAGAAAGTCTCAGAGAGGTAGAAAGACACCGCGTGAAGAGAAAAAGCATCTTTGTGAATACATGATCTCTGGTTCCCTGCAGTCCTGGCCTTGGGTGATGGCCGGGTGCAGGATCTCCCTTGCACATCTCCTAAGTCATGCAAGAAGGCTGTTTCTTTCCTGCCTGACGTGTGCACCTTCAGGAACATCTGGGAGGATCATTCCTGTCCCTGGGTAAAGGGTGTCCTGTACAGCATCATGACTCAAGCAACCTGAGATCATGGCAACATCCAGAGGAGTAGGAGAACAAATCCACACACTTCAATAGAAATCAGACTCAAGACTTTGCAAAAACGGAGGGAAAAGGCAGTCCACTGAAGCAGTATCTTTGCAGATAACCCCAGAGGGAGAGCAGCTCTGACCTGGCCAGACTATATTCAGTATATTGCCACACATTACCTCCTTGGCAGCTAGATAGTCTGATATATTTAACTGTTTCTTTATATCTCACCTCCTACACTACACCCAGTAACAGATGCCATACTACCTCCACAGTCCTCTCTCCTAAGAGTCCCCCGACCAGTAAGTGCAGATAACCAGCTGCTCTGGGAGACCAGAGCAAAGCAAAGACCTCAGGTGGACACAGACTCATGCCTCCTTCAGCAACCTAAACACCAGGAACGCTGGAAACTTGCAGTTAGAGTAAGTGGGCAGCCTGTGCTGCACACTTCACCTTATCTCTGCCCCTTCCTGGCAGAGCGGCTGTAATGCACAGCTCGCTCCCTCCAAACCCTTGATGGCACATTTCATTCAAACATCTCTAGATTAACCTGTGCTGTTTCCATTTTCTCTTTCACCTCTGAAATATTCTCTCTTACTTGATTTTTGAGCCATAACCCTGCCAGCAGACACCTCCCCTCCTCCCAGTGCAGGTGCTGAATTTGGCCAAAGGGAGAATCCTTAGCCTTAATTCGTACTGCCACCATCTACATTTTTCAAGTCTTGGCTGCACAAAGGCGTGGTCACCTTAATCTAGTGCTGGCAACCATTCTGCCCTGGGCAGAGGCTGGATGGGGACCTCCTGAGGGAGTCAGCCCGGCTGCTCTGGTGAACATTGGGAAGGCAACGGGAGCCTGAGTGCCACGGTCTCTGTTGCAGAGCTTTTGGGCAACCTCTTGGCTCCTTCTGTGCAAGGGAGGAGGAGGGACTTTTCACTGTTAACAAGACATCATTGGATGCTAGTACTCAGCAGAGGTGCTCGAGGACTTTCTGATGCCAGCAGCACAGGGAACCCTTCCCACCAGAGGACATTAATCACCACCACACTTTATGGGGGATTGGAAGAGACCCTCTGCCTACTTCAAGAAGGGGATCCCTCTTTCCCTTTCCAGGCAGCAGTCCCCAGGTCAGGTGCAGACGGCAGCAATCTTCTTGCCGTGGCTACCTGCCCATTGCCTGCCAAAACTGTGAGCAGAGAGAGAGGAGAGAAATAATTGCTTCAAGCAGAGCCAGCTCTGCAGAGGCACAATTTAGGCATAAAATTACACAGGATCCTGAGCAAAGTGCAGCCGCAGCAGCAGGATGGAGCAGCACAGGAGCAGAGGGAGGAGCATGGGGAGTCTTTAGTTATTTAACTTCTATTTTATTGTCACTGCCTTCAGGTTTAATGCAACACACATGCAGGCTTGACAGGGAGGTCTTGTTCCAGCTTCTCCCCCTCCCCAGCTGAACCCCTGCTCCTTTCCCGGCACAGTAGCTTGCGGGAGGATGATTTTTCTCTTCACCCCATGGCAGCAGGCGTGCAGAGCCTCTCCCGAGCAGTCCCCTCCCTGGCAGTGGGTGCCGAGCATCCCTGCTCCTTGCCAGCTGGGTGCTCAGCAGCTTACTGTGGGGAGCCGCAGACCTCCCTCCAGCATCCATGGGCTGGCCCAAGGAAAAAAGCTGCTGTCATTAATGCTTAAAACACCATCCTTGTTGACAGATCCACAGCTGCCAAAGCAAGCATCACTTTATGTCCTGGCTTTTACTTAACAGCTGCCTGGGTCTGGCATGTGCTGCAGCTCAGCCAGCCTTGTCTAGGGGGAAAGCCTGGGGTCCTGGGAGGTTTTGACTCTTCCTTTCCCCAAAAACTGCTTTCAGCAGACACTTACCCACTATCCCGAAGGACAGCACAGTAGAAAGTACCAGTTTCATACTTGAGCAGGGAGTCAGGTGCCGAGGAGGGGTTGCAGCAGCCTTGGTCACAGACTGTCCCCTCCAAGTCTGTGATGGCTTTGGAGCCGCTTTCTCTCCCTTTTATAGAGGAACAGCCCTGGCTGTGTTTGCAAAAGCAATGACCTAACACTGTTTGTCCTTCCTTGTTTCTCAATAGCTCCTAAATCGCCCCCCTCCCTGGATCAGCCCATTTTTAGGAAGCCTTTCACTTTGGCACTGAACCCCTCCGCAGGCAGGAGTCAGAGCAGGGCAAGGTGCTTTTCATTTTACAAGGGGCTTCAGATGGAAAATTCCCAAGTTGTGACATTTGAATTCCCCTGTGGGCTGAAGCGCCACAGGAGGGGCTATTTTCTTTGTGCTAGCCACCCCCTGCCTTGCCCAGCCTAATCTCAGAAAGTCCCTGCTGGATCCAGCCCTGAGTTTTGCATGTTTGCTGGTTAGTGCCACTGTCGTGCCTATCGCCCTTTGGCTTATAGCACCCTGAATGCCTGCCAGCTCCCTTGCACTCTCTTGGCAATGGCAATGGGGTTGAAAGGCAGTAAATGTTCCTTATGCATGATCTGGCAAGCTCCTTGCACAGGCAAAGAAAGTCAATGGCAATGACCAGACAGCTCGATAAGTGCCCTGCAGCCAGAAGGAAACATCATGCTGCATGTTTGTTAAATTCTTGGGATAAACCTGGGAAGAAATGCTGAGATTAGCCATCACCCTCCTCCCCCTTCCTCTGAAAAAACTCTCTGTCCAATTGTATCACTCCTGATATATCTCCCTGCAGCCAGGACCAGTGGGGCATGGCTAGGTTTACAAAGGTCTGCCTTCATGATGGTGTCCAACGCTCAATGTCCCCATCCTTGCTGCAGGCTACAAGACCAGCTTCAGGCTGACTCTGGCACATGCACGCTAAGTGAGAGTCCCTGGACCACATCAGCTTGCTCACAAGCCCTGGCAGCATCCCTAGACAGCACCTTCTAGGGCTGGTCCACCCCCTGTCCACCTGACGCAAGCTACAAGAGTTTAGTAGGAAGACCAGCGGTGAGGTCTGGCTCCCAAGCTTGCTCTCAAGAGCACCAGCCTCCCTTTGTGATCTTCTGGATCCCCTGCGCAGGTCCTTCCTCTCCCATAGCCTGCACCCTCCATGCAGCAGTGCCATGGGGTTGCCCACAGCGGGCTCCTGGCTGAGGTTGGCTGGAAGCACCCTGGGTTTGCTCTTCTCCCTCCTCCTAGCAGGCTGAGGACAAAGTGACCTGCAGCTGGGGGGTGGTGGCCAGAGTGGCCTCAGTGCAGGTGGGAGCCCAGTGTCAGGTCAAGGATATGGCTTTACAAAGTGACCCAGGGAAGGGGGCTGCTGGAGACCTTCAGGCAATGACCACCTCCACTGTGGCACCATGAGCCTGCCCTACCTGTGTCCTGGCTGCTAGAGGTCCTTACGGGCTGAGTGAGAGGCACTCATGGCCATGCTGGTTATTTCAGCATCATCTTTAGCAGTTCCTTGAGCATGGCTAGTTCCTATTTCTCATCCCTTCATCCCCTGCTTTCCCAGAAGAGCAGCACTTGTGTCCAGAGTGTCTCCAAACACACGGCAACTGGGGAAATACTGACTTGTTCCCACTGCAAGCCTTCCTTCCCTTTTAAAAATCTCCCATCTGTATTTACTCCAGCAAGCTGTGGCCCTCCAAGGTCTTCCTCCACTGAGACATGTCAATGCCACTGAAATGCACCCCCAGCTCCCCGGGGTCTCACCAGTCCTTGCCTCACACCAGGTAGCCTTAGCAATGTCCCCATCTGTAAGAAGAGGCACAAGGGCTCGCAGGAGGCTATCCTGCATGATTCTTCCATAGCTTTTTGTTGATTTGCTCCAAAATGCCTCTTCTAACAGATATCCTGAGAAAGCCTAGAAATTGCAGTGCCACTGAAAAATCAAAGATATCTGAGCACATAAACAATGGTGAAAATATTTGGACATATTGACTCCACAAACGAAGTAGGTACAACATTATCTAGAGCAGATAAAGGTATTTTTGCCACATGACAGTTGAAGGGGAAAGACGCAGAAGAATGTTCAGAAAACATAAAGGATCTGATCTTCCAGCAACAGAAGAGCAGTTGCTGGAAGAGCCTGGATTATCTTGCCCTCTGCACATGGTTCCCAGCCTTTTTTACATGGACCACCTACTGCTCCTCTCTGCTCTCTCAAATCACACCTGCATCCCCAATGCATTCCCTGTATTTGCTGAGGAGGTGGCAGTGATGTGATGGGTAGTTTTCACTCCACACCTCTTTCCCTTGCCCTCCTAGATGGCATCAGGACAAATCCAGGGGGGAAGGAAAAGGCTTGGATTGCAATAGATTTTTCTACTTACCTCTTGTCCTCCAACCGTTACCAGTACCTTCCTGGATTTCCGGATGTCCAGCCACTAGTCATCTGGAAAGTCACCAGCCACATACAGAGCAGCTTCTATACCCCTTTTTGATGCTATCAAATCCTACATTTCCCCATGATGGATTTCCATTCACCTCGTGGTGTACACCCATCTTATGGCTGCTCCTTCAGCAGCTTTGCCTCCTGTGGTCATGATCCGCTGCTCCAGCCTGCTGCAGAGCAGCTCTGGGCAGGAAAAACTCTTCCAACACACAGCTTGCCTCGGAGGTACCCAATGACAGAAGCACAGCACATTGGTGATGTGTCCTCTAGGCCACCTGGGCTTGCAGGCTCAGACGTCAATCTCCAAAGGACCCAACAGACCTCCAAGATGCTCAGTTCTGAGGAGTACATCCCACCAAGGGAAGCCTTGGAGGGAAAAAGCAAAGTATTCTGGGTGGCCTCCAGCTGCAAAATACCTTCTTTTTGGAGTCCAGGAGGGACAGACTTCTTGGTGCAATCAACTTCTTCCCCTGAATGTCTATCAGACAACTGCTTTTCCAAATTTTCTGTTAGAAATGCACGCTTATTCACACAGCAGGTCCTCTCTCTCACTAAATACACACACATGCTTCTACAAGTTCTAGTTAGATCCATACCTCACTGCCTGGGTGCATGGTTTTGTGCAAAAAGAGAGCTCCTCCCATGCCCAAATGCATGTAGCTGGCTGACTAAGCTGAGATTGAACAGCAAGGGCCAATTCTTACTAACGATGGAAATTCTTGTTGTCTTTCAAGGTAAGAGGTCAATGCTCTGGCTTATGCAAGGAGGAACAACTTTACCAGAAAGAACAGAGCTAAGCCAGTGCCTCTCAGACTTTGTCCTTGTTATCCAGAAAGCATCAAGTCTTCTATAGTGGACATCTTCATGAAACGAGCTGAATTATTATTACTCATCATAAGGTCGTTGCATTTCAACACTTCGGATCCTGACTGTTCTGTTTTCAGAAAGAGGATGCTGCTAAAAATTACATGGAAGATGAAGAAATACAAATTAACACACCCTCTGACCAACCACGGGTCACTGGTGATGCATAAAAACATCTGAACTCCAAGAAAAGAACAGGGCTCAGCCCCATGCTAAGTAAAATTGAAGGTAAAATAATACCGCTTATTTCTACATCTCCCTTATTACTGCAATCCCATATGTGTACACTGTGGTTTGCGGTTGAGATGAGGCTGGACTGGAGTTTTGGTTGTGTCCTAACGAAAGGACATTTGTTGTAATTGGGCTGGGATAAAGTTAGAGCTGGCACAACTGTCTGGAAAAGTGTTCAGCTTTATCACGGTGCTGGCTGCTCCCCACAGCAGAGCTCATCCTGGAGCCAACGCAGCTGAACAGCGGCTGGAGAAGAGCTCTGGTGGTGTATGCCTATGGGGAAAACATTAACCGAGGAGAGAGAAAGCTGTGATCAAGGCACCACACCAACACAGGCATCTTGCCTGACTCTTTGGAGCGGTTGCTTCCATAGAGGTGCTCCTATCCAGCAGCAGAGGCCTTTGGAGCTAATGCTGCTGTTTCCAGGGGTCACCAGTGTGGCAGTTGTGTGATGAAGACCCTGGTCACCTTGAGATATTACAGAGAAAAAGCACGAAAATGGAAGAAAAAAAAAATTAGTCTAACCTCAAGATGGGATGGGCTGAGGACAGAGGGCAATATACACCCACCAGGACTTTGGGCTTGTCTATAGAGCTGGCTTGTTTCCCTCTAGAAATGTGAATTTCTAGTTTGTGGCTCGGAGAAGACTGGAGCCTGCCCACAACAAGGACGTCAGCATGGTCAACCGCGAAAGCTGGTCTCAAGTTCTGGTCCTGTCCTGGCCCTGCAGGTCACATTGCAGCAGGTGAAGGCAAGAAGAGCAGCCTGATGAGAACCCATTTTCCCAGCTCGTCTGTCGATAGCCCAGCGTGGGACACGAGACTGAGACCGGCACTGAACTGGCAACGGTGCCCATCTCAAGACATGGGAGACGATGATGCTGGGTGGTGAATGGATGGAGAGCAGCCGTGTGGAGAAGGACTTGGGGATGCTGGTGGGTGACAAATTGGACACGAGCTGGCATTGTGCAATTGCAACCTAGAAAGTCAAGTGTATCCTGGGCTGCATCCAATGCAGTGTAACTAGCAGGTCGAGGGAGGTGATTCTGTCTCCTTACTCCACTCTGGTGAGACCCCACCTGGAATCCTGCATCCAGCTCTGGGGTCTCCAGTAGAAGACCTGCTACAGCCCATCCAGAGGAGGACCACAGAGATGGTCAGAAGGCTTAACACTTCTGCTATGGAGAGAGGCTGAGAGAGTTGGAGTTGTTCAGCCTGGAGAAGAGAAGGCCCCAGGGAGATGTACTGTGGCCTTTCAATATATAAAAGGGGATTATAGGAAAGATGGAGAGAGACTTATTACCAGGGCCTGTAGTGACAGGACAAGGGGCAATGGTTTTAAACTGAAAGAGGGTAGATTTAGGTTGGATATAAGGAAGACATTTTTTACAGTGAGGGTGGTGAGACACTGGGACAGGTTGCCCAGAGAAGCTGTGGATGCCCCATCCCTTGAAGTGTTCAAGGACAGGTTGGATGGGACTTTGAGCAACCTGACCTACTGAAAGATGTCCCTGCCTATGGCAGGGGGGGGGACTAGATGGTCTTTAAAGGTCCTCTCCAACACAAACCATTCTGTGAGTGAATGTTCAGGTACCTAGAAGGGGCAGGGAGAAGTCAGGGGGCTTCTGCAGGGCTGGCTTACCTGGTCAGTGTAACCACCTGGGGGAAATCCCAGCCCTCCTGCCTGATGCTGGGTCTTTCCTGGAAGATGGAGTCACTCGGCCCCTGGAGCCTGGGTTGGCATGGGACTTGCAGCAGCTGTAA